TTTTTTTTTTTTTTTTGCGGAACCGGGGATTGAACTCAGGCTCTTGCGCTTGCCAGGGAAGCACTTATTCCACTGAGCCATCTCCCTGACCCCCCCCCCCCCCCCCTTTTTTTTTTTACAGTTTCTATTCGCTATTGTTTTAAAGTTTTCACTGTTCACTATAGTTTATTTAATGTATTTGGTTGTGACAGGGTCTCATTGCGCAGCTTGGACTCATAGTGATCCTCCTGTTTTCAGCCTCCCCAGCGCTGAGACTACAGGCTTATGTCACTATGCCCCAGACTCTGGCCCACTCAGCCAGCCTGGGGCTGGGCTGGCAAGGCATGTGGTATGTGTGTGTGTGTGGGGGGGGATATCAAACCAAACCGGAGTCCCTGTGTTTGCCTAAGCTTGCCTAAGCAGGCACTTTAGTCTGCTGAGCTATCTTGCCAGCCCCTTTTCACTATAGTTTTAACGTTTTGATCATCATTTTGGGATTTTGAACATTGGTGTGTGGTAATTTTATTAGTCTTCTACAACTCATAGTTCAATTTTATCTGTATAATTTTATCTTTTTTTTTTTAGCAGTAGAGTTTTAATTGCAATAAATAAAAATGTTTTAATGTTATGAACACCTGTTCTAGGTTTTTGGAAGACAATTGAAAATAAGTAACATCTTTAACAATACTTTTGGATAGTGTTTAAAATCTTAGTGGGGCTGGGCATAATGGCATGTGCCTGTAATCTCAGTGCTTGGGAAGCTGAGGCAGGAGGATTGCTGTGAATTTGAGGCCAGCTTGAACTACATAGCAACACCCTGTTTTTTGTTTTGTTTTTGTATGGATTTTTTGGCACTACCAGAGATAGAACTCAGGACCTTAGGTGGCCAGGCAGGCTTTTATGCCACTGAGTTATTTCTCCAGCCCAAGACCCTATATTAAAAGAAAAAGAAAAACCCTAAAATCTTAGTGGAAATGAAAACTTTATATTCAGATATGGTATAATGGCATCCCATTCATTCATTCAGCAAAAACTGATATTTACTGGATGTCAAGTATTGTTAGAGATTCAGGGCTATGCTGGTGAGCCAGAGAAAGACAAAGCCCTTGACCTAAGGGAGTTTGACAGTTTAATCTTTCAAACAATTAACTTTAGCAAATTGTAGTTTTTATAATCCCTCTAGCTCAGTCTTGGTCCTTGATGAAAATACATTCTTAAGTACTTTCACTGATAGGCACTAACATTTACTGAATGCTGACTGGGTGCCACATTTTATGTTTTTTTTTAATCCACTCTGTTTTACTTACAGAGATATGAAAAAATAAGTGACAGGCATGATAGTTTTTAGTAGGTAAGTTGAAAATGTAGTGTTTACTGTATGTGAAGTAGACACCTGTGACAGTGGGATGGGGTCAAGGGGGAGTATAAATTTAAAATTTTAATTTCATTGTGACTGGTAGAATCTGTGGTCTATGTAGGAAGCTTTGAGTGATTCTTGTATTCTGATATCTTTAGCTCAAAATGTTACTTTAGCTCATTCCTATCAGACTAGTTACCCTGCCTGCTTGATATATTTCTAGCACATTAAGGCTTTGCTTTTTGGCCTTTGTCTTTGCTGTACTTTGCATGGAACAACCCACCCCATTCTCCCTGTACTGTAAGCCTATATTACAGGTTCCTCTCGGGTCTTAGCTCAAATGTCATCTCCTTAGAGAGCCATTTTTCTGAGCTCCCATTTAGACTAGCCCTTCTGGTGACTTTTTCTCACTTTCCTCTATTTACCTCAGAGTGTTGTTGTGTGATAGGTTGTTTATTGTTTGCTTGTGTCAGGTTTCCTTACAGAAATGAAAGCATTTGTTTTTTTCCTGAGGGATTACCTCAGTACCTTAAACAGTGTCTGGTGGTCAAAAGTATTTGTTGAACAAAAGTGGCCCAAACTGGCGCAACCTCTGTGTGTAAAATGATAAAGCCAATGTGTAACTAACCAACTGGCTGAGTCTCTGTCACTTTGGATGACAACAGTATCTTAGTAGCCTAACTTGAAAGTCTTCAGCTAAGAAAACTAGAAAAATTAGATTTGTGTTTGTCACTAGATGGGAAAATAAACCTGGTTCTTCCAACTTGCTTAAATTAAAAAACAAAATTCAAATCCATAGGTTTTGAGGGACAGTAGTCAAATGAATGTATCTCTTTTCAATTTGATGCTTCTCTCATGCTTAGATTTGACCTATGGGTTTTTGGCAGGAACACTATAGAGGTAAAGTGTCATTTCATCACATCATATCAAGGGTACATACTAGCCACATGATATTTCTGTTAGCATTGATCTTGACTTCCTGTTTGAAGTGTGTTTGTAAAGTATCTCCACTCAGAAGCTGCTCTTTTTTAATTTCCACACTGTGCTCTTTAAAATGAATTCACTGTGTACACTCTGCATTTGAAAAATGTTGAGGAAAAGTGTTCCCTGACCACCTTGGTGATTTGGAATTCTTTGCATAGATTTGTCTATCCTTCCCATTTAAGTATATCAGTATGGACTCAAGTATTTTACTTTATGCTTTGGGTTATATTCCAGTATTGCTCTGTGTTTTGCTCAGATAGTCGCGGTTTGATCCACTGAGAGCTGTTGCAGTTGGCTCCTGTGCCCTTCAGTATGTTGATGGATTGTTGAGTTGGATGATTGTTTTTTCTCTTGTGGACTTTCTTGCTTTATGGTGTCTAAGGTGCTCCAAGCTCATCTTGTATATTTCCTGATCCAGAGATAGAATCAGCCATTTCTTGAAGGAAACTTGCTTCATTAGAGTGGTGTTAGGAATAAAGACCTAGGGGCTGGGGAGATGGCTCAGTAGAATAAGCACTTGCTTGGCAAGTGCAAGGGCCTGAGTTCAATCCCTGGTTCTGCAAAAAAAAAAAAAAAAAAAGGAATAAAGACCTGGCATGAAGAGTTCTCTTTGCTACTGGGATGGCATTTCTTTTGGGCCCTTTCAACTAGTGATGCAAGAAAATTACTATATTTTTAGATTTTATATGTTTAGTGCCCTGCTTGTTGCTGTTGAGAAGCAGTGGAAACCTAGTGAGACGTCTTCCAGGCATTGTCACTGTGCCCTTGAAGGATCTGTTGGAACCAGCTTGCCACAGGCCTAGATCTGAAAACCTCCAAAACTATAAGCCAAAATTAACCTTTTATTTTCACAACTTGATTTATCTCAGGTATTTGTTATAGTAATGGAAAG